TTACTAATCAGCAGAAAACAAAATACACACATTTAATTAATTCCTTTTAGACTGGCCAGATAACTGGGTCCAATATTTTTTAGAATTCATTCTACACAGCAGAAGGTGTTAATGAAAAATATGAATACCAACGTCTGAAACATGCTATGGATGCTGTTGGATTTTCTCATATTTCTCAGCAGAACATGTTTTCGGTCATCTCAGCAGTCTTACTTCTCGGAAACATCGAATATATTAAAGTCTGCCTTTCAAGCTGTTTATTTGCATTCTTCTGTATGCTCAAATTGCTAATCAGTTATTCGCAAAATTGGATGATAGTGTTTTTCAGCTTGATTTAAGCAAAAAATTCTTACTTAATCGTTGCTATGAGCATAATGCACATTTAGTTTCATATTCCATCCAGAGAGACACGTTTTGTTCTTTTTTCTTTTTTCTTCTTCGTTTTTTATTTGTTTTCTCTTTGTATAAAGCACAAAGCTAAAAAAACAAAGACACAATTTGATTGACGCTTATTGTCCATCGTTTTATGGTTGTCCAATTCTATATTTGGCAGTAAAAAATTACTTGCTTTGTCTTTTTCATTTTCTTTCTGAGAATAAAAACATCTGTTCATAGAGGCCAGGCTACCATAGCGATGAAAATGCTTACATTGGCAACGAAGAACTGATCGGAATCATATCGGAGTTGCTCCATATTAAGGCAACTAATTTACAACAAGCGCTGACAATGCGCCGCACCGTTATGAAAAACGACGTAGTCGTTACGCGGTATAATGTTAACGAGGTATGTATTCGAAGTTTTAAATTTTGTGTTATTCAACTAAAATGCTGTGTAAATTTAAGACAAATTTTTAGCGATTAATGGAGGAAGTTAAAGTTCATCAGATAATTAAAAGTTCGAAATTTTGATGTTTTTGAAATGTTTAGGCAATAAATACAAGAGATGCAATGGCAAAATGCTTGTACAATGCTTTGTTTCACTGGATCGTTCTTCGTATTAACCAAGCATTGCTAAAAAAAGAACGTTCACAGGGCAAAAAAGGATATTACATCGGTTATCCTCACTTTAATCTTTAGTCTCATCTATTTTGGCGCTC